CGAACGACAGTTTATCGACTCAAACTGAACGGTGGTTCTAGCGTTACAAATAGAGTGGTGGTTTTGGACGATCAGACGAACGAGTTTCTTGGCTCAAACCGAACGAAGGTCTTGTCGATTCAAATAGAGTGGCGGTTCTGCCGTCTCAGACGAACGACGGTTTGTCGGTTCAAACTGAACGATGTTTCAAACTGAGTGGTGGTTTTGCGAGATTAGACGAACGACAGTTTGTCAGTTCAAACGAATGATAGTTCTGTCGTTTCAAACTGAATGGTGGTTTTGTCAGTTACGATAATCGATGGATTTGTTTCAAAATGAACGGAGGTTCGGCTGTTTCAGACTGAACGATGGCTTTGCCATTTCAAATTTAGCGGTAGTTTTGCCGATTTAGATGAGCAACTATTATCATTATCATTATTATTACCACCGTTATTATTATTGCCATTATTCTGTCTTCCATTACGATTATTACTAATTTATTCTTATTTCTATTTTTATGAATTATATCAGGACATGGTAAATTGTCTATTACTGTTACGGTTAGCTATCCAATAATCAACAAATTTCTGTTCGTTTCTTCTGGCTGATACTCGGAACAGCTGCAAATTCGCAGTTTGATTCCACAAGTATTTAGTCAGCAACTTTTTCAGTTGCCTTGTGGTCAACTTGCTGAGGGCCTTTTCGTTCGCTTCGTCGCCCGATGAGAGTACCAGCTCAACAACGTTTTTCTGCACTCGTTAAAGTTTTAACTATTTCGAAATGTTACTAATACGCGTTAAACATCTGGTTTATAACTGAGATGCAGCATTAACTGGGCTACCAAGGCGAGGAGGAAGAGCAAAAATGCACTGGACGCTAAAAGTTTCGTTTGCACGCGCAGCGGTGAGAGAGGGTTGAGCAGAGCACTTTTGTAACCTAAAAAAGCTCTTTTAAGCTGATGATGCTTCGTGAATACCCTGAAAAGAAATTTGGTATTTTTTGAAATTGTCTGCCTAAATTGTCA